CCCCAAAACCCCAAAACCCCAAAACCCCATTGCTATAAACTAGACATTAATTTTTAGTTCATGAGAATCCAAATATAAATAAACTCAATTATTATATAAAGTAGCAACATAATTTGAAGATGGAGAGTATGAAGGTGAGCGATGACTTAATTCCTAAGAAGATAAGAAAATACCAATTTGTAAAGCAAATTCCCAGTTAAAGTGATTTTATTTCCTGCGTTTACTAAGATGAATCCAGCTAATTGTTTAACATCAAGTTAATGGAATAAGATATATGGAAGGATTCCCCTTTGATTTCTGAAGAAACATTCGACCATCTAAGGACGCTTCAAGATTATGTAACTCAATTGAAGCACTTTAAAGAAAAAGGGTTTACTCTAAAGGATAAAGTAGTAAGCTAAAGATACTTTTTCATCGTGTTAACCCACATGGAGTACTCACTTCAAGTAGCATATGAAATGTCTAATCCTTAATCAAGAGAATAAACATTGCCAGAAAAAGGTAAACAAATGATAGATATAATGATGTAGCTTCATGCTACCAAATTTATACACACAAACATTAGGTTATCTAGCTTCTTATATAGTGAAGAGAAAATTTACCTTGATGAGATCTGGTTGTGTGAACCCTATAACAAAGATAAACCTCTTCAGATTACTCAAAATGAACCATCTAATTACTAATACTAAAAACTAATAGATTCTAGGTTAAGCAACCTCATCAGTGTTGTTATCTGTGCTTTAGAGTTGCTAGAGGGATCACTTCCCTGGGCTGGTTAAGTTACTTCTGAGAATATCTTGAATGCATAAAATGCTTTATCAGTTGATAAGTTTACAGGTTAAGCCTAATAAAACTTAGTCAAATTGTTCAAATTTTTGACCAATACCAAATTCGGAGCTGACTTTTCAAAAGTTTATCCTTATCTCTCTAGGAAAATGGGAAATTTAACAGGTGATATTGGTGATTTATCTCTTGCTGATATGAATAAAATGTCAGAGGAAAAATAAGTGGAAGATCAGCCTGATCAAGGTTAAAACAACATTAGTGCAAATGCAGATAAGAAGAGAGGTATACCAGTATCAAATATATCCCTGAGTGGACCTGTCAGTAACTTAAGTTAAGGGAGAAATATTAAAAATCTCAGTGCTAATAGAGGTTTTGATTCTATAAGAAATATACAATAAGTTGCTTAAATGGATGGAGAAGCGGAGTTCTTACAAGTTAAGCTTAGAACACTAGATACTGAGGTATTTAAAGAATAAGATTAAATCCAAATATAAGAAAATAAAAGCTAACTAAAAGCTAATTTAAGTTCTTATTAATCAACGCATCTAAAATCTAACTTTTCTAAAAGTTTGGATCTCTAACAAAATTTGCCAATGCTTAAGCTAGATAAGAAGCCTTCAAAAAATTAACAGATTTTATTGTAATCTGTCATTAAGAACCCTAAGCAATAGAACAAATTGACTCAGAAAAATGAAGTATTTGTTAGAAGCTTTTTCAAAAAAAATGACGAAACAGATAGTGAGGAAGAAAAGAAATAACTTGGAAATATACCTGCAAATAAAAAATAGTATAAATTCTCTCTCCCAATAGACGCTATTTCTAGATAGGCCTGGATTTATTAAGCAATATAACAAAACAATGATGTAACTCTCTCATCACTTAAACTTGAGGAAAATGAAATCAAAGCTGTGAAGGCTGTCGTTTACAAAGAAGGAGAAAACAATCCTCTACATACTCTAGACCTTACAAAGTCACCAAGCAATAGACATTTGTTCTAGGGAAGTTTATGGCTAGAAAAGGGTCATAAATACGACTACTACTTTGAGTTGAGTGCTAGAGGAAAAACTTTTTACTTTATCAAGGCATCTTACTATGATAAAAATCCAAAAGCGATTGATAGCTACAAAATAGATTTTAAAAGCTGAAAATCATAATCAATCAGGTTATGATTTAAGCTTAATATATAATTCCTTAAAAATTTGCTGAGAATCAATTTAAATTTTATTCAAATAATTTTATCTATCAATTAATGTCTTACCTAGTGTGAGGGGTTTTGGGGTTTTGGGGTTTTGGGG